AATTGGTTTAATTTGATTATTTGAATAGTGGCAACTCCGCAACTGCTAAAGATAATGATACGGATTACTCGAAGACTCCTGGATAATAATAAATTCTTAACCTGTAGACAAAGGATAAGATATTTCAAAGCATATCTTTAAATCTTTGACCCTCCAACTGAGTTTGCAATACTTAAAATCTTGAATAATTGATGGGTCTCTATTTCTGACTTTTTTATTCTTTCTAGCAGCCACTAAATTTTCTTATTTGTAACCAAAGTCTTGTGAGAAGTCAGCTCTAAATCTGTTTTGATTCTTTGGTCACGTTATAGAGATTGCATTAGCCAATTTGTGTTTTAGTCATTTGGTTCATTTCGTGTTGTCCTTGCTCTATTTTGCAAAGTCTTTGGTACTACTAACTGTCATTCCTATTCGAATCTCTTGCTCGTTTTCTCTCTAATACAATGATAGCATTTAACCACAGTTATGGTTCACCTCTATTAAGTTGATTGTTTGGCTGACTAAACCTTGGTGTAGCTTGAGCTCCTTAATTCTTGCATTATCGTTAATTAAATGACTCCATATCTATCGTTCATAATAATTTTTCTGAATTTTACAGATATGAGAAAGATTTTCCCCTTCGAGCTATTCCACTTGGGTGGTGATGAAGTTAATACTGGTCAGTATGAGACTTTGGTAGCTTTATTAAATTTCTGAATAGCCACATGACCTAAGACTTGAAGTTGTTAAACAAGGGTTTAAGCATAATTTTATAATTAGCACTGCTAAGAGTAAATAGTCTTGTGAGGAGAGATGCAATCTAAGGGCAATGGATAAATTGTTCATCCTATAATATTTCTGCCTTATTCTGAAACTGAAATGTTAATGGTCCTGCACCGTTAAATGATTAGACTCCTCTTAATTCGGTCCTCCAAAGATAAAAGCCTCTCAATGCCGTTCTTGATAAGAAGTTCTCAAGAGCTAGTTATCAGGTTGGAGAGCCCAAGGTCCCTCTAAATCCCATATCAGAATCTCATCCTTTTGATTCGGGGCTCAAGTCCCATACCTTGCAATTGGGTCCTAATGAATCCCTGAACAATTTTTATCCAGTCAAAATGATTCATTTGTTGGGAAAAATTTCTCCTAATTAATAAACAGGCATCCACACAATCATTAACTCATGACCTGGACTTACGCAAGTGGTTTTTCCCCCCTGCAAAGATGTTTAAGCAAAGTTTCCCTCAAAATAACTTCAGCTTTGTAAAATTTGCCCTAAGAGCACCATTTTGGGCAAAAATGTCATTTGATAAATCTAGGTCATTAGTTAATAGTCATGTGGGTTCATGTTCTTGTCTTTATCGATACTAATTTATGACCAATAACATTATTTGACAGATTGCTGGAGCAATACTACTCATGTTAAGGAATGGTAACAATCCTAACTGTTATTCTTGCTTTATGATTTTTCTCTCTCCTAGGGACATTGGTGCAACAAGGCATGAAAAAGGCTGGCGGTATGCCTCCCTACATGCCCTGCTGATAATCATGCCTTGTTTAAGCATAGATTGTCATCAATTTCCTAAATTAAGTTTAGTAGCCTAACTTTATTAATTATCATTGTATCATGCATAATTTCCATGTGTGACATTCGTTCTATATACTGAGTATTGACTCTCAAGTGCAGGCTTCAGAATCACAACATGACTGCTAAAGATGCCTATGAATATTTTGTACTCAAGGCCCAAGGCATAGCATTATCAAAGAATTGGACTCCTGTGAACTGGTACAATCTTTATCTATATGGAAGTCCTGCATTAAAAACTCTCGTCTTCCTGCTTCGGCATATTCTTCTTCATGCCTGAACTTGAAAACTTTTGATGTATAATTTTGAAACAATGACTATATTAAGGATTTAAAATCCCCCTTCCCCTAGTATCTTAATGTCTTCCGTATTTGTCAGCAAGTATAAACTCTACTTCTTTTGAGTCATCAAGTTCTTAAATTTTTATAATAAGTATCTGTGATTTCTCAGGGAAGAAACCTTCAACACATTCCCGTCAAAGCTTCATCCACAAACCGTAGTGCATAACTGGTGAGTTTCCATATGTATAACCTTTGTGAACCTCAAATATCGCAATTTCAGAATGAAGACGGTCAAGTAATTTTTTAGGTTGGGTCCTGGGGTTTGTCCAAAGGCTGTTGCAAAAGGTTTCCGGTGCATTTTCAGTAACCAGGGCGTCTGGTACCTTGACCATCTTGATGTGCCTTGGGATTTGGTCTATACTGCTGAGCCACTTGAGGGAATACATGAGGAGTCACAACAAAAACTTGTACTTGGAGGAGAAGTTTGCATGTGGGGTGAGACAGCTGATGCCTCAGACGTGCAGCAAACAATATGGCCTCGAGCTGCAGCAGCTGCAGGTAATCACATCCTGCTTATAATTTGTTGTCATTATGCTACGTTCGTAGCACTCTTGACTTCAGAGATTCTGGTTTTTCTATCAGCAATTGGTAATTTAAAGGCATATCGATCAAGCAATGGCACATTTGGGTCCTTTAAAGGATTACTGTCGTCTTACCTAGTCAGAGTTACCAAACCTCCCCTCCTTTCCTTGGGGCCTATACTGCATGTCAGATTCCCTTTAAGAATATGATAAGTCTTACACATTGTTGAGAGTCTTTTCCTTTTATCTAAACACATCTTTCTCTGCCTTTTAGAGATATGACCGCAAGACACACACACACACTCTGAAGGATTAAGAGTTTAAGACATGCAAGTTATATGAAGGGGTCGTAGGGATCTTGTAATCTATTTTGTTTTTGGCCCTTCTCTGTGATGAATTAGATATGAAGGAGTTTTAAGTTGCACTCCTCCTCTCTTTTTAATTTTGATAGATATGAATATAATGGCATTTTACTTTAGTTATGTATGTATTTTGGTAAAGTGAAGGAAGGGTTGGGGTGGCAGGCTGCTAAATTTGAAAAATGCAAGATTAACTTCTACTTGCATGTCACAGAACGCTTGTGGAGTCAGAGAGATTCTGCACATGCAGGAAATATCACCTTAACTGCATTGCCGCGATTGCAACACTTCAGATGTCTGTTAAATAGACGAGGAGTTCCGGCTGCTCCTGTCACGAACTTTCATGCTAGAACTGCCCCTAAAGGCCCAGGTTCATGCTATGAGCAATAATGCTTATCAAACTCCGCCAGTGTGGTAGATCATCTGAGTCTGGCATGGTGGGGAATCAGCTGGTGTGAAAAGATATGCCAGATTGATAAGGGTGAATGAAGGCCTGCTCTGCCTAGCAAAACAAGCAAGTCACATTTTAATTTATTGTTATGAGAATAAATCTTGTTGACTCTGCTTGCTTGATACGTTTTCTAATACGAATAGTATGTATGGCTTTGAGATTGCTCCAGCGTTGAGCCCGTTCATCGGATAAACATTTTCTGGCTGACCTTTTCCTTCCTTTAGCTTTCCCCCACGGAAAAAAAAAACACCTAAAAATGGAAAAGAAGTTGCAAAGGTCTACTTTAGTGGAAAACAATTCATAATTACGTAAAAATTTCAATACTTTTCTCTCAGGGCTCATTCTCACTTTGTTTATTCCAATGTTGCTTGTAAATACGGTGTCTTTTTCCCCCCCAAATCCTGTTGACATCTGCAAAGAACATCTTAACGGAGGTAGTACTATTGTATTTTGCTGTGGACATCAATAATCTCCATCATGTGCTGATGTCAGATAACAAAGCGTAGTTCACTGTGCCCAGTGATTTCGACTGTCTGAATCCCTTGTTTATACCCGACGGCGCCGCCTAGCGGTCTTACATTGGAATTGGGGACGAAGAATCAAGAGTTGGTCTTTGTGAGTAGTTTCTTGACATTTTTGCAAAAAGGATATAAGATGGTTGGCATGACTTGGGTTGATCATGATGCATATGCTGCAGAAGAACTGGGAGGGTTATAGGTTTAAGGTTGGAGTCAAGTTGGGGCTTGGGATTTTGTTGAAATTAACGGATAATACTTCCTCAGCTCCTAGTAAGTTAGATAAAATATTAGATTTAGTTCTAAATATAAAAACTCAATTTATTTTATTTTTTATATTCATTTTTTTTTTACAAAGTATCTATATTCATTATATATGTTAAGAGGCTTTTTCATTGAGCATTAGTTACAATACAAATGATTAAAAATAATAACAAGTATTTAATTTAACTAATTTTTTTAATCTATGAGTTATTTAATTCACCAAGGACAAGGAGTGACACATGTGGAGATAGTTTTGGTATGTATGGGCTGTTCATGTGAAACCAGAGATGTTTGGAAGGTTGGGTTAGGCTTTTGGGCTTTGAGGAAACAGCCCATCAGGCTATAATAACTGCGACAGTAAGCTTCACAGTGGCATAAATTTTTTAGAGAATTACAATGAAATCTTAAAAAAATTAAAAAAAAGTTTCAGAAATTATTATTTTTTATTTTGAAACTTATCATTATAATCTGTTTAGATTGTTATTGGAGTTTTTTAATAATTATTTTCCTTCTTTAAAATTGTCATTTTCCTAATTTTTTTAGAAAAAGTATAAATCTTTGGTGAAATTATTTATTTTTTAAAAATTTTTAAAACTTTTTAATGAAACCATATTAATTTTCATCATATTTTATAAATTTTTTTTGTCATACTGTGCAAAGATCTATTTTTTAATTATAAAAAGCCGTTCAAGATCTCACAGAATCAAAGACTGTTTAGGTGAAAATCAAATTATAATTTTAAGATATACAAAATAAATATATAAAAAAAATTTTGTCTGAATTTACGTAATTTTGTTTTATTAGAATTGAGTCATTTGAACCTTAATTTACATTGGTTTTTTTTTTTTTGGGCTTTAGAACAAAGACACCCATCAGTCACCGGTCCACATTGACTCTGGGAAGGTTACTTTTGTAATTTCGCGTATATTTATGTCTCTCACGGAAAATGAAATTACTTATCTCGATTCCCGGCAACCACAAAACCCTAGTTTCATGCCCCGCGGCAGCACCCCTGTTTTAAAGGTTCGTTGAAATCTCCCATTATGCTTCTTTGAATCATCTTCCTTTTCATCTTTAGGTATTGAAATTCGATTTTCAATGCCATTTTCCGTTCCAAAATCTGTTATTTCCCGAGAGCTCTGGATTTCACCTGTTCTGTACTATTTTTGTATTTATATACATCATCTTCAGTCTCCGGTTTCGTTTTTTTCTGAATCGAATTTAATTACTATTTAGGACAGCATTGAATCTGAATGTTGTTGGTTTTGTAGTTTTTAGCCCGTGATTTTACGCCTTTGTTTTCTTTTTGCATCCTTCTGATTTTGTACTTTGGTAACTCGCTGCAATTTATATATGCAGGAGCTTTGAAGAGCTTCCGGTAAGAGTTCGCAATGGCTCCTTCAAAGGGTAAGTCTTTTATTATTTCACCGCCTTTTCCCGCTTTTTCATAATTTACGTCCTGCCGGTGTCGATGATTTAGATATTTGTTGTTGCGGTAATGACTCCCTCTTGGAATTTGTGATTTTGATGCCTACACAATCCTAGTATAATGATTTCATGCGTGATTAGTCATTTTCCTTCTTCCTTTAATGCGTTCGAGGGAATTTGATTTTCAGTTACATCAGTCTTTATATTGTGTATGACATTTTGGAATTTTGGTCAACTCATTAGCTGTCGCGAGCGAAGCTTTCTCTTGTTGGATGGAATAGCATGTAAAGTTTGAATTAATGATACTGGGATGCTATGTTATGTTCTTTTTCATTCAGGGGATCTGCTTTTTCTGTGTAATAGGCCATGGCCTTCTTTTATGCCAGCTTGTTATCTTTAGTTATAACCAATTCCAACTCATGTTTTGATCCCTCAGATGATTTTCTACCCTTTTCATGTACTGCTTCATTGAAATTGAGTAGTTAGCGTGGGTGATAACATCTAATTCATGCAAATGGCCTGATGAATGTTCACCTTGTGTAGTGGATACCACCAAGAAGGCTGATCCTAAAGGACAGGCCATGAAGGCTGCCAAAGCATTGAAGTCAGGTGGTCCAGTGTTGAAGAAGAAAGCTAAGAAAATCAGGACATCTGTCACATTTCATCGTCCAAAGACATTGAAGAAAGACAGGAACCCTAAGTATCCTCGCATCAGTGCACCGCCGAGGAACAAACTTGATCACTATCAAATTCTTAAATACCCTCTCACTACCGAATCTGCTATGAAGAAGATTGAGGATAACAACACGCTGGTTTTCATTGTTGATATCCGTGCTGACAAGAAGAAGATTAAAGACGCAGTGAAGAAAATGTATGATATTCAGGCCAAGAAAGTCAATACGCTGATCAGGTAACTTAAACAATGCCTTTAGAATCAACATTGTCGAGGTACTCTACGTGTATTGCATGTTGTGGAAGCAGAACCAGAAATCTAATAGAATCGCTGTTCTTGCATAGGACTGATTTAGATAAAATTTAGAATTTGCGCATTGTCTTTTATGGCATTCTGATTGCTTGTTGCAATGTATATGATCTAAAATATTGGGTTGGGGTATTCTCGTGTGGGTATATTGTAGGGCACTGTCATTTAACTGCATCTATTTATGATCATTGTCGATTAAAAATGAATTAGCAGATAGTAAGATGTCACATCAAATAACTATTGCCTTTGATTCTGACAGTTAATATCTACAAACGGACTTGTAACTAAACAAGAGTATGCTGGATCTTAAACGCAATTTAGATGATGTTTCGTATTGTTATCATGTGAATTATTTATTATTTAACATTGGACTGAAGACTATGTAAATGCTGGATGCCTTTACCAACCTCCATAATTTGGGTGATGCAGGCCTGATGGAACAAAGAAAGCTTATGTTAGGTTGACTCCAGATTATGACGCTTTGGATGTGGCCAACAAAATTGGCATCATTTAGGGCGTTCTGCTTTGAGTCGAGCGAAGCTAATCCATTGTTGTTGAGATAGTTTCGTTAAAAATTTGCTTCCGGTTTCGACTCTCCCATGTCTATTTGACTATCTCTTATGTATAACTGGTTACTCCACATTCAATTTTGGCTAGTTCTCTCATGAGTGTAGATTTTTATACCAGACCTAATCTGTGAATGATTTGTCCTGCTCTTCAAAATATTGTGTTTTGATATGCAGCTAGCATGTTCAACCGACCTAAAACCTAATTCCCGTCAATTATCTTATTCGTCGGGGTGCCTTTTTGAAAGGAGGGGTGGTTTGATTTCGCGGACAGTTTCCTAGGACGCGTTTCATTTACATGTGGCTCAGTTGGTTTTCATGTGTAAGAGATTACCAGTTTACTCGGAGCAATTATGTTTTCGCGCATTTAAAAAGAACAAAAGAAGATTCTGACGGATGAATGAAAATGCTTCTTAGTGGGAGCGTCTAAAGGCAAGTATTCAATTGCTTTTTAAAAGTTAACGAAAGTGATTGGCCATATATTGAGCGATGATAAATTTGTAGTTAAATTTAACCTTGATTTGGAGAAAGATAGCATAATGACTCCCAAAAAGTGTACATTCTAAATAGAACTAGAACGTTAGTCATTATGGCGAGATTGGACGGGATAAAATTTAGAAAAGGATATTGAAACATTGACTACTATACTCTTCCCAGTTGACTGAAAAAAATGTTAGCTACTATAACATGGGCAATTGGCCAAACAAAAATGTAGACTTGGAATTGGGCAGCATTCTTGCAGATGAAAGTTCATCATCTCTATCATGAGAACAAACGAAAAGTTAGAACTCAGACATTGAAAATTTGGAAGGACTCTACGACTGTCTGCAATCTGTCCTTCATCTTCTCCCACCTTCTCTCATTTGCTCCCGTGGTCAAGGTGTAAAACTTCCCTGCCATTCATGCTTGTTAGTATCAGTTAATTATCTGTACCTAAGTCTTAGATGATCATACATTCAACCAGTTTACTTCCCTTTTCATCACACTTGCGTTTAAACAACCAGAGCTTGAGGCCTTGAAACAAACCTGAGCTTAAGCTCTGGTTCTCCCAAGTTTTAACTCCGCTCAATTTATCACTATATGCATTACATACTCACTAATTAACTTCCCTTTTAAACTTGAGGAAACTTATCATGGAGTTAAACCATCCAATGCAAAGACAAAACCGTACCGTTGCCAATGGAGATAGTGCTCAGAGCGTGGCGAGTATAGTTAGGAGCCTGAGCAACAAACTCAAATTGATAATACGCTTTTCCCTCAACGTCTTGCTGCACAATACAAACATGGAGCAAGCTATGTTATTCCATAAAGATAAGCCCTTTGATGTGCACATCACTCAATGCAAATACAACTCAATGAAAAGTGAAGACAACCATATTCCTCATTCACTACCCAGAGAATGTTTATAATATATTGGCGCGGTAAACTATCCAAGGGCATGCAATAAAGGCTTCATTGAAGCTCTCCTTGTTTGGGAATGATTGGAAAGGGAGAATAGTCCCTCACTTATATTTTAGATTTTCATGTATCATAATATCAGAAGAGTTTTTCCAAACAAGAAAAGATCAGTTGAAAAGAAAATCTATTTGGCAACATAATGAAACAACATTTTGTTCACTATAAACAGTCATCTTTGAGCAGGAAAAGTCCCATTCAGAACCTTCAAATACTATGAAAGGCCAAATTCACTCTAGTCAACCAATCCAAGTTAAAAAGGCTACCATGCTTGCATTAGTTACACAGAAATCTTAGATTATTTATATGCTCATAAGCATTTCAGCTTTCCAGGTCATATCTTTTCCCCCACCTTTAGCTCCCCTTATGCATATATTAGGTTAAACTACCGTGTATACACTAAGCAGCCAAGGGTGACCCCATTTCCAACGGAAACTGAAAAACAGCATGGAGGAAGGAAGATATGATATCAAATTCAACTTTTTGCATAAGTGGTAAGGAAAAGACAGAACACCAGCAATGACTAGTCCTGAGGTCAACTCTGAGATGAAAATAGCAGAGCAGAGTTGTCCAGGGAATATCATATTTACTGCTTATAGTTTCTGAATCCGTATCAAATCTCAAGACATGCAATGCAACTTCACCGTCCATTTAACATAAAGAAAGAAGAGGTATGAGATATTAAACCTCTTTTGCCTGAATTAGTTTTGTTTTCTGGGTTGGAGGAGCCAGAACTTTTTTTATTAGAGTTTCAGCAACCTGCGAGAAAAGTAAGATCAATAAAATGATTTATTTTCATTCAGAAAAGAGAGAGCGGGCTCTGATATAACACTAACCTGTTCAGGAGGTCCAAATTCTCGAATATCTTTTTTTCCAGTTGGGATCACATTTACACTGACACTTTCGAGGGGTTCAATGACATCTTTGAACACCTTATCTTGACCTTCAATCACTACTTCCTGCACAATCCCCATTGTAGTGGATGGAAGTAGCCAATCTTAACTTTTGTGAATGATAGTGAACTAGCTACAGACACAAGTCATATTGAAACTGATATCATGTAAAACTGCGCACCTGCCAGCCAAAAGGGCAGAGAAATGAATATCCATCTTTCTTGTCCAATACTGACAAAAATCCTTTCTTGTTTTCTGCAGCAACTGAGACATATCAAGGGTTTACTCTAAAGATGTCAGCCATTTATAGCCTTCTAGTCAAGAGTAATTTAGTACAAAAAATGGAAAACTTAAACTGCTTAAAGGTAATCTTACAGGAGTATAAATGTTGGTTAAACAGAAAAACCAAAGGGGCAGTAGTCCCAATGGCAATCATTTGGCGTCTTCCTGGCATTTCTGCAAAAATGTAAGAAAAAAACCATCAAAATAAGTTGTAGATGCTCTGGTTTTTAGATAGTAAGCAAGCCTTTATGAGATAAGGATTTTAGTAACTGCTTGAAGCTTCGGAATATCCAATCTTGGCCCATAAAATTTTAGAGGAAATGTAGTTTTTGGTGCCTAACAGATCAATGCTCAATTGTTTGGTATCTAAATCTTTGCGCTACTTGATTCAACCCCTTAAAGTATTTTATTTCCTACTAATTAGAAAATCAGGGAAAATATACATGCTTCAAGGATTAACAAGAGATAAACATTGCTTATGAAAAAAAAAAAAAATCGCGTTATGTACCTCACCTCACACCTTTCATATTTCATGTTGATCTCTATTATAGAATGAGTTTCACTTGCATTGTTCATAATTGACAATCTTTATGTTGATCTCTATATTTTACAAAGTTTATTGCTGAATTCTCCGCAACTGCATTTCGTGCGGTAGTGCTTAAATGATTCATATGGAATGCAAATGACACATCTGTGAGGTTAATTTTTGATATAGACCCGAGGTGCATATTGCACAATGCAACTTAACCCAGAAGTTATCGTACTGAAATTGGCACACCAGAGGTAACTTGTAATTGGACCCATAACTCAGCGGAGAAAGTGCAATATTCCAAAACAATAATCAGTAAATACATACAGCATACACTAGCGATCTATCAACGGCCTTTGATGCTAAGTTTAAGAGGTAGGACTAAATGCTTACTAAAGAAGCTACCAATGAGAATGGACGAGTTGTTGAAGTGAGATTGAGATATTTGAAAGTTGAAAAGCAAAGAAATCAAGTACTTGTACAGCTGAACTCGGAATAATCTTGAATACCTGTAGGGGAAATGGTTTTTAGTGATGAATGGGCAGCCTTAACTATGAACGAAATGCTTTCTCTTCTACAGGAACGAAAATGACCATTCTTCTGTAGCTAGTAAAATTTCAAAAAGCAGAAGGCGACTGAGTGAAATCATCACAAACTTAAAGGATCAAAAAGAGAGAGATAGAAGACGAAGGTACCTGAGGGAAAGAGCTATGGAAGAGGGTCCGGTGAATTGTTGGGGAGTTCTGAAGGGACGCCATTGTTACTGTTATTGTAAGTGGAAGTTTTCTTCGAAGTGCGAAGTTCAGGGAAGAAGAAAGGCAATGGCCTTCTCTGCCCTCAAGATTCAGTGGAGGAGGCGGAGAAAACCCCACGTAGGATGCAAAGTTATCCACATTCTTAGCGACAGCCTCTAATTCTGCAGTCTTTAAGTTAATTATTTCCCACGTGGCCGCTGAAGATAATATTTCTAATTAGTAACTTTGCAGTTTTCAAGCACATTTAGATCGGGGGAAAAAAAACCTTAGCAAGCAAATGCAAATAAGATAATATATATATACTAAAATAAGAAACTATTTAATTCTTTTTTTGTTTAATTTATTTTCTTATGTTATGGTTTATATTCTTTCTTTTTTTCCACATGCCAAAAAGGTCTCCGAACAAAAACAAATCAAGATATATAGATGATAAAATTTTATTCCGGTACTTTAAACATGTTTTTAATATATTATTGGATTGATATAACGTTTGGACTATGAAATTTGGAAGCATTTTTGTTTTATTCCCTCAAATTTCAAACACATAGTCTTAGTCCTTGACCTTTAGTCTATTTTAAAACATTAGTTTCCGCAAGTGTAATGGTGTTATAATCTACTAAATTATCATAAATGGTGTTGAGGTAGTAATACAGACTCACCAAATAGTATCTTATTATATCTTGTCTAGATAACAAATTATATAGAAGAGAGTTCTCATACACAACGTTATGAGTAGCTCCTTAAACAAGCAACAAGGGAAAAAAGGGCTAAATATCAACGTTATGGGAACATATTCTTTGTTCTTTTTCTTCTATATTATCCAAACAAGATCTAGTTAGGTGTCATCTAATGAGTTCATATCATCACTTTAATATTGATTATGACACTTTAGTAGATTTTAATATCATTACACCTCCAAGGATTAATGTTTTAAGATGAACTAAATTTTAGGAAAAAAAACTATGGATTCGAAATTTGAGGGATCAAAATAAAAATAGATACCACTACAAAAGAGGCTTTTTACGGGGTCAAAATGAGCCTTTCACAGTAATTTTGAGTGTGGTGTCTATGCCATCAATATTAAAAAGAGAGAGGATTTTACGGCAATTTATATAATCACCATGAAAAGTTTGTTTATTATTTATTGAATTTTCCTCCTCTTGCTTCGCTCTAGATCTAAAGTCTTTAACTACCAGTAGAACATCAAAGCCTTCAACTATCAAATCGAAGCTACTAAAATTTGATGAAGGTAAAATCGAACACTTAGATAAGATAAAACTCATGAATTTTAGGCTATCAAACTCAGATCTACAAAATAAGGGGAAAAATTAGATCTATTCAAGCTTCATGTATCATAGTATGTTTAAGCAAGAAGACCAATAAAAAAATAGATCTATTCAAACTTAGAACAAAACATCATGTTTTTTAATCAAAGAAAATATACCCACATCTTTTTAAAGAACTAAACCACAAAAGCTATAAAACCCATAGAAAGAGTAAAAGAGAAAGGCGAAAAACTCACAAATAAGGATAAAGAAGATGATGTGATAGCAACGACAATGGAAAAAACATGGCAGAGATGATAGAAACAAGGAGAAAATGCTGGCAAAGGTGAGAGGAGGGAGAAAATCAAGTGAGGATGACAGTGAGGGACCATGAGCTTTGATTGTGAAAAATGAAAAATTATCGCGATGGAAAGGGATTTAAAATTCTAATAAACTTTGTAAAGCGTTTTTTTAAACAACCTCTCTAAAAAGCACTTTTAGATTTTTAAATAACTGCTGTGAAAAGTAAAATGTGCTTTCTTATAATTATAAAAATGCCATTGTCATTTTTTTCACAGCGTTTTGCTTCATAACTGCCGTAAATTAGTATTGTGAAAAATCTTTTTTGTAGTAGTGAGGCTCAAATTTTAGGAACCAAAAATATTAACCTATTATTATTTAAAACTTTGAAGAGCTTTTAGTATTATTCTATTTCATTATTTTGTTTTGAATTTATTTTTTAACTACTTCATTTGAATTTGTAAGGGTGTACAATGTGATATTCTTTGTCATTGCAATAAACTAGTTGAAATAAATCCTGTTGTTCTTTATAAATTAAGATTCGTAAATGCTATCCTGCTGGTACTTAATACAGTTTAGGAAAAATAACATATATTTGTGACAAAAAATCAAATTAACTAATTTTTATAAGAATTAGTTACAATGTAATTCAGTAAGACTAATACATATTTACAACAAATAACCAAATTAAATAATTTTTTTAATATCTTTAAATTAGTTATCTAATTCTCATATTAAAGAGCAGAGTCAGTATTATTGAATATAATATTATACATAGGTGTGTGTATATAATAAAAGTTTTGCTCTTTCATTTATTCCTTTTCAATTTCATTGTTCTCTCTCTCTCTCTCTCACTCTTTTGAGTTCAATAAAAATCATGTCCTTCCACCTTCAATAACAATTATAATTAATAAAGTTTTAAGGATTATCCTAACTGATGAAGAATTAATAATGTGTTAGCTATCAAAAATATATTACTCTAATTATGAATTAATGATTGATTTATGGACACCAAATCCTAATAAAAATAGGAAAAGAAGTCCAAACTGCATTCTGCATTCAAAGGATTAGAGGCTTCAATGACCCTTCCATTCCCATAATTTGCAATTGATGCTGAACACTGCAGATGAAACTGATATTTAAAAAAAAATCTCAACTCAGCATCTTTTTCTCTACATCTAGGTAGGATTGGATTTATAAAACTCAAAAAATAATCAAGAAATCAAATGCTAGTAAAAACTATATATAGGGAGTTCTACTTTAATCCAAAAACCTAAATAACACACACATATATAAGGCACCCATTCAACATTAATTGATATATAATGTGATTTATGTTTGGATGCATTTTTTTAAAAACAAGTTTGACATAAATTTATTTAGATGATATATTAAAAAGTAAACTTTAAAAAGTTCAAATATAAAAAAAAATAAAAATCAGAAAAGTTGCTTCGGCTAAGTCAAAAGCAGAAAATGTTGCTTCAATTTTAAAGTGTTTTTTTCCCAATAAACAAGAAATCAATAAATATTATTCTAAATTACAAGAATTGAACAAACGAAACTCATCTAAGAAACATTGCTAAAGCACGTTTAGCCATCATATTATCTTTCAAGTTGTTTTCTCTTTGAATGTGTTGAAGATTAATGGACCAATAACATTGGAGCATTGCATGGCTTCCTAGAATAAAAAAGTCAGTTAATTCTAAAATCATGTCAAATATCATTTTTCATCCAGCTAATTTTTTAATCCCAATTAATTTCTAAGTTCTCCTTACACGATGGCAATCAAGTTCGAAAGTGTCATTGAAGACGTTGTCAAGTTTTAAACATTAGGGAACATATTAGCTTCGAGCAATAAAAACACCTATATATATAGATTATACATTTCCTGCTCAAAAAGGAGCAAGATACAGATCGGATAGCCGCACAGGCATTCTTGGAGATAAGAATAACAATTAGATTTTAGCCTAATCAAACAACTTAGTTCTCTACCTATGAGATCTTAGAAGGTTACGTTTAAGATCTAGTTGACTAATTCGAAAAAATTGATAAAATTAAATAAATTACTTAATTATAACATATGTTACATAATTTTTTAAAAAATATTTATGTATATTATTAAATTATATATCAATTTATGAGTTAGGAAATTAATTTGGAAAAAATAATAAATATTAATATAAATATAAAGTAATTTATTTAATTTTGTTAATATCTCTAAATTAGTTAATTAGGTCTTATATTAAAAAGTGGATATAATATTTAGATTACACAGACGTCTAGAGAAGTTAACAGCCATGCTGATTAATTTGTTAGTAAGAGTTATGCAGAAAATCATTGTACACACTCCTCCTATGAATGTAGACATTTGCTTTTTGTTTTTTGTTTTTAATGGAAAGTAGACATTTGCTTTTAATTAGCTAATTAGTGCAAATAATAAATAGATGGGTGCTATTAATTAATAATAATTATTTTTTCATGCCCCTAAATACTGTATTCCAAAAAAAAAAAGGAGGATTGGAAGAGACGAATTTTTAAGGGAGAAAAAAACAAATGTCAATGCGATATTTTTCAACCATCACACGAATTAACAGCACGGCAACGTGTTGTTACTTTTCACACAAGAATTAGCCTCACTCGTAACAGATTAACATGTCTTTATATTATTATATGGATCACGTTTCAAAATCAAAATAAATTTGGATAAATATAATTATCAATAATCTTTACTTGTGAGGGCAGAAACGATGAAGTTTAAGGCACCGTTTGGATGTTTGCCCAAACCATGGTTTGGGGGCCCAAACCATAGTTTGGGTAAAAACCTACCCAAACAGTCATCCCAAAAACCAAACCATGGTTTTGGGTCAAAACCATGGTTTTGATTCCAAAACCATGGTTTTGGAAAAAGCAAAATTTTTTTGCTTTTGGAGAAAAGAGGGAGAGTGTGAGAGCCTATAGGATATGTATCTTGTTATTTTTTTTATAAACATATTTTTTATAAACATATTTAATCTTATATTTTATAAATATATATACATATTAATTATTTATTAATTATATTATTTTATGTATTATTAATTATGTTGGTAAAAAATATATTATTAATAGTTTATTCCTTCAAATTAAAATATATCATAAAATCTATTTTTCTGTAATTATCATATTAACTTATGTCTTTTTTTTAGTAATTTGTGTATAAAAAGTGCTTCTGATAACAACTATCCAAACACTCTCACTTTTCAAAATCACTCCAGAATCTATTCTTCACAGAATCTATTCTCCAGAATCAATTTTCCAAACCACGGTTTGGTTTCATCCAAACACACCCTAAAAGATATACGTAGGCGTGGATCATGTTCAAGCCTCTCATTCCTTCTTATTATAAAATATTTTGTCTAAAGTATAGAACTTTCTAACTGATCAACCACACTCCTCTAATCAATGAATTTGATGGAGGACGATTTTGATGTTTTATGAAAAAATAACTAATTTTAAATAATTCTATTAATTTATGTAA